ATGCGAAGAATATCTTAAGCAGAAATTGTCTAATGTTTAACTATAATTGCTAAGGAAGATGTGAAAAGTCCTTAGCATATGATAAAAAATCGAAAAAACAGTTGTACTTTAATCAAAAAGTTGTTATTATGTTTTTCATGAAATGCATTTGTAGCTCAGTTGGTAGAGCACTGGATTGAAGATCCGGGTGTCGGGGGTTCAAATCCCTCCGAATGCACCAAGCCGTGGTTTGGTTCGACTCCAAATCATTTTGCGAAAGAAAGCGGGTGAAAATTGTACATAAGTATCTCGTAAGTATGGATTGGTTTGCAAATAGGTCGGTAGAGGCATCTACTTAAGCTTAGATTTTTAAGCAGTAATCGGGTGATTACTTTTGACTGATAGGGTTCGATTCCCTAATGCGGCTCCAAATTTCGGTCTTTTAGCTCAGCGGGAGAGCAGCTACCAGCGGGTAGTGCGTTAAAACCCTTATTTTAAAGCGTTAACTTTTAAGTATTGGGTTACTTTGCGCTGGTTCGAATCCAGCAAAGGCCACTAACGAGGTGATAAAATGAGAACATTAAAATCTAATAATGTAATATTTTTGTCCTTATTATCATTATTTATTTTCAGTTTTATGTTGTTGCCTAAGCAGCAACCATTAACAAATCAAGAGTTAAAATCGTATACAGAACGTTGTATTAAGTATGAAGGTAATCCAACATATGTATTGAAAGAAAGTAGTTCAGATGTAATGCAAGTAATTTGTAGATCTAACAGCCTTTAAGTTGTATTAGCGATAATACAGTATAAAAGCTGTTTTAATGGGGGTCAGTCTTGGCTAAGCAGCTCTGTTTGTAACTCAAGCACCTTGATCGGTTCGATTCCGATAACCTCCACCAAGCCTGTTAAATAGTGCTCTCAACCGAAAGGGGAAGAGTTCCAGATGAGCGGGAACTAACAGGCTAACAATAATGTTCAGGTGCGATTAGTGGTATATCGAGCGGAGAGAACTCCAATGAGACTGGTTCGAATCCAGTACTGAACAACTAGAGAATGCCAGTTCTTATCTGCAGGTAAGTCTGGAAGTCTGCGGCGCTATTCTTGGATGTGTTTTGG